TAATAATTTAGATGTTTTGCTAAAAACTAAGCAGCTAAATTTTTAGTTAGCTATATAGCTAAATTTTTAGCTCCAGGAGAGTCCTCTGGCACTGACTGTCGTCGCCGTCGTGTGCTTTATTTGCAGAGAGCTCAGCTTCCGGCGTGGCGACGTGATCCTGGTCAAGAGACAGGTCGACCGGAACTGGTACGAGGGTGAGCTCAACGGCCTGCAGGGCCTCTTCCCAGCCAACTATGTGGAGGTGAGTGACACGGGAAAAACAACGCACAAACAAAAATTTGGTCAAAAATTGGGAATTTGGAAAAGAGGTTCTGAAATTTCACATCAGAATCAGTAGTAAAATTAGGAACGCGTTGGCGAAGTTTAAAGTATTGTCACTTATGCAATTCGTTGTTAAAATTCATAGCGGTTTCCTGAAAATTGGAAAACAATTCAGAAACAATGCAGAAACATACTATTTTTTTTCTCGATTGTTTTAGTTCGTAATTTTACAAACTTTGAATCGTGTAATTGTATTCGTAAAATTAAAATTGACTTTTTAAAAAGTGAACGACAAACTGGAGTATACTTATTACTTCGACGCGCGAATCAGAAGGTAAGTTAATTATTCATCGTTGACATTGGCTGCGCAGGTGCTTCCATACGACTCGCTGCGCTCCACGCCCACCAAGCGAGTGCAGGAGGGACAGGCTCGCGCCAAGTACAACTTCATCGCGCAGACTAGACTGGAGCTGTCTCTCGCCAAAGGTAAAGAAGAATATAAACCCTCTCGTAGCAATGTCACAAATAGTTGCAGGTTTACGGGGGGGAGTCCTGGAATGTCGTAAAATTACAATTTGAAATTGCAAATTTACGACAAGCAAGAACGGATGTTGCAACCATTTTGTCATTTCAGGGGAGCTGGTCAACCTGATTCGGCGGGTGGACGAGAACTGGTTCGAAGGGCGCGTCGGCAACCAGAAGGGCATCTTCCCCGTCTCGTACGTGGAGGTCCTCCTCGAGCCGTCGGAGCGACCAGGTGAGTCCGCAGGGCCGGGGCCGTCCTCTTTGCAGCCCCTCTCCACCGGAGACAAGGGGAGGGGGGGGGGTTCTCAACAGTATTGGGAATGTGGTGCTTTACTTCTATCATTCCTCTTTGAGGTCGAAGCTCGGTACAGAAGGAACCAGACATCAAACCGGTGCCTCAAAGCGCCTGCTATAAACTCGCCGATACTATCGTCCCCAACTGCAGAAAATAAGGTATCGAGGCGACACAGCCACACGAGGCAGCGTAAAAAAAAAAAAAAAAAAAAAAAAACATTCCCACAGGAAAAAACAATGTTTACGCTGGCCGGCCGATGAGCGAGCAGGAGCTGAGCCGGCGGCAGGCCGAGGCCATGCGCAGACTCTACCAGGAGGAGCGCCGGCGCAAGTACCTGCACGAGCTGCAGGACATCAGCTCCCGCCGGCACACCGACAACTTCACGTGAGTAACATTCGACGGATTTCGAGGAATATGGGGAGATATATCGGGAGACTTGGTTTTGAAATTTTCAAAATTTTTCGGAAAATTACCAAAAACTTCCAGGAAATAAAGGAAAACTTCCAATCACTATGAAAAATGTCGTCGTAAATTTACAATTTTTTTGAAAATTCGGATTATAATTTAAGCGTAAATTTACGAGGGCCAAATTTATTACTCGCCAATGGGTTAAGTCACTACTTACTGCATGTATTTTTACGATTTCAAATTGTAATTTTACAACTTGCGTCAAGGAAAATTTTCCTGTAAACCCACCTACTATTTTTCACAGTGAAAGTCTGGGAACTTGTCTATTTTTTCCCGGAAATTTTCCTTCCTTTTTTTCCCGATAGGAAAATTTGTGTTTTCTTTGCCAGCGCATTAATGACAATGAAGGGAAGCAGGCCAACGAACTGTGCTGTGTGCGTCTGAAAGCAGAGGCTCGTAAACACAATGCCGGATTGCGGAGCACGCCGTCTGGTCTGCCGCCCAGACTGATTCCGCGGGGCGGGCGGGGTGGGCGTGGGTTGGGCGCACACCCCAACAGCGTCGCTCCAACGCTTCCGTCAGGTGCGCTTTCCCTTTTGATGGACTCTCGCTTCATTGTGTTCGTCGTTTGGATCGTTCTCTCTCTCTCGTGGACCACACACCGGGGGTTTCGAGGAGAAGGGGGGGGGGCACCCCCGGGGAGGGACGCGGTGCTGCTGGAAACCAAACAAAGCGTGTATAGCCCTTGGGAGTCTGTCGTCCGCTTATATACTGCCATACCGAGGGTGGCCCAACGGTCCATAGACAGCCCTCTTGTCCCCCGTTTCATTCTCTGTTTCTGTCTCCTTTATCGCGAAAAAGTATAAGAAGGTCAAAATTTATCATTCGTGACACTAATTTACGTGGTTTTGTGGTTTAGCTCGTCTGTGACAGAGCGAGAGGGAGCGGGAGTGGGAAAGCGAGGGAGAGGGGGGGGGG